GTGTAGACATTACAAAGGACAAAATTTTACTATCTACCTTATAAAACAAAATGAGCTTCTAAATTGTATAATGTTTGTTTTTTGTTTAACAACATTTTTATATCAGTAAATATAGATAGCAATGCCATTCTATGTTGCATATATTCCTATTCCTTTATATGAATAGTTCATAATTTAAATTCTTGGGTGATCTCATTAGTCATCCTTTTAAAATTTAATCTAATTTTGGTGGGTCTGTGGGTAAGGGCACTTGTTGCTTTTGCAGCAGACATGGGTTAGGTTCCCCAGCACCCACTTGGGCTTAGACTTTCTATGTAATAGAGGTTGGCCTTGAACTTCTGATCCTCCTGCTTCCACTTAGGAAGTGCTGGGATTACTGGTGTGCATAACCATACCTTGCTTTACAAGCCACATTCTGAAATAATTTTTTTTAAAACGTTAATACATTATTTAAAAAAAAAAAAGTAAAATGAAACAGTCTTAAATTGAGGTATTTTATGGGCAATTGTAACTAATGAAGTGAATTTGATAAGCTCCATATCCAGTGTTTTGGTGATTTCTTCTTATGTACATGAGTTCTTAGTATAATGATGATATTTTAGCAGATTATTTGTTTTATATTGTGCGCGCATGCACACACACACAGTGTGTGTTCTTAGCTCAGTGGCTAAGAACACTTGCTGCTCTCCCTGAGGACCTTAATTGGTTTCCCAGCAACCACCTAATTGCTTGAAACTCCAGCTTTAAAGGATCTAATGCCCTCTTCTGTCCTCTTTGGTCATCCCCCCCCCCTCACTCCCACATGTGCACACACATTTTCCCCCCCCTCTTTTATAAAAAGTTCTGTGGAAACTTTTTTTAAAAAGTTCTTTTTGACACAGGGTCTCACTTTGTAGCCCTGGCTGACCTAGAACTCACTATGTAGAGGAGGTTGACCTCAAACTCAAAAGAGATCTGCCTTTCTCTGCCTCTTTGAGTGCTAGGATGAAAGGTGTGCACCACCACACCCAGTGAATTTATTTCTTACACATTAACCTTTGGGTCCAGATAATAATAACCAAATATTGGCCAGGTAATAGGCTAATAAGTAAATGAAAATGTCTTATGTAATCATCACAGCAGTCTTAAAAGGTAGGCAGTATAGGTCTATAACTAGATGAAGAAGCTGAGGGAACAAAAGAGTTAAGTAATTGATAACAGGTGGTGATGTGACCAGCAGGCCAGGATGTTACCCCAGACCTGCTCACTTGAGTTGTGAATACTTGCCCAAAGTGGAAGTTATCTTCTTTTGGTAGAAGAATTTGTTTAGTGGATTCAAACTTCATGATTTCAGGAGTCTATTTTCACTTTTAAAAGTTTTTGAGAATTGAATGGAGGTATCATCTGTAACTTCAGCACTGGGAAGGTGGGGGGAGAGAAGGAACTCCTTCAAGTAGGAGGCCAGGCTGTGTGAGATAAAAATCAGTTCTTTTTATACCCTGTTACATTAAAATCTTTTGGCTTGTCTTGCAGTTGATTTTAGCCATATGTGAATTTTCTAACAAGCATTTATTTGGTCATGTGGTTACTTACAGAGCTTCTAAATGCTGAAACAACAGAAATTCATGTAGAAGTCACTACTCATCTTTTTTTAAAAGTTGGTTTAAACTCGGTATAGTTTTTCAAAATACTGATTTCACTTGAAAACCCAGCAAATATTATTAGTGATTTTCCTTGGAGTTTTAACTTTGTTCATTTTACAAAGAAATTTGTTAATGACCCAGGTTTTTTTGAGCTAATGGTCTAAGTATCTCAGTCTGGCATCAAACACTTTCATCTTGGGGCAGCCAGGCTATATTCCTGTGCCTTGTACTCGTTTGAATAGTCATAGCTCATTTGTCTGCTCTGTTACATAGAGACAGTACTCAGGGGCTGGAGAGATGGTTCAGCAGTAAAGAGTTCTTGCTGATTTTGCAGAAGACCCTGGTTCAGTTCCCAGTATCCATAACAGCAACTCCGATCCAGTTCCAGGGGATTCCTTGCTGTCTTCTGACCTCCTCTGGCATGAGCCATGCGTGCAGTGGACATACATACATATATGCATATATGGAAGAAGAACATTCATACACATAAAATAATCTTTATAAAAGGATAGTATTCCAAGAAGAAGGCTGGTTAATCTTGGCAACCTAAAAGTAACAGTGTGGGGGTTGGAGAGATAGCTTAGTGCTTAAGAGCACTGATTACTCTTCCAGAGGACTGGAGTTCTATTTCTAGTGCTCTGTAGTGGTTTACTACCTTCTGTAACTCCAGTTCTAGGGGATACCGTGCCCTCTTCGGTACTCCTGAGTTTTCCCTGAGATTCTGTAAAGCTGAAATTTTTTACACATACTTTCCCTTTCAACACAGATTATTAAAAATGTACTTGGGAGTCAAGAGTTAATAAAATCCTGGGGGAACACACCAGTTTGTTATCCCATACGAAATGGTCAGCTCTGAATACAAAGTAACATTACACGACTGAGCAGGTTATATTTATGAATGTAACAATTAATAAAAAAGAGGTCATGAATTTGAAAAAAGAGTAAGGAGGTGTATATGGGAGGGCTTGGAGGGAGGAAATCAGCTATTAGTTAATTTTGTGACTGTGTCCATGTGATCCTCATGCTATAGTGGAAGTCAGGAAACTTGAAGGGATTGCTTAAACCCAGATGGTCAGGTTTGATAGCAGGTATCTTTACTTGCTAGGCCATCTAACAGGCCCAAGAACATTTTAAATGTAATTGGCATTCTTTTTTAAGCTGCGAGTAAGGAATACTGTGACTACTTTTTTTATTTGGTGCTATTGTCTTGGTTTGTTCTAAGATACCAGCAGTTTTGCTTACTTTTGTTTTTGGACCCTCATTGCAAATGTTAACACAGTTTGTAAAGGGCAGGGCCAGTAGAGATGGCTCAGTGGGCTTAAGGAACTTAATGGCCTGAGTTCCATTGCTGGCTGGATCCTACATGGTACAATAAGAGAACCAAATCCTGCACATTGCCCTCTGACTTCCATAGGTGTGCTATGGCATGCGTGCACACACACCCATCCAAAAATAAATAAGTATAAAGATAATTTTTTTTGCTTTTTATTAAAATGATTTATTTTTGTATTATGTGTGTGGGTATTTTACCTGTATGTATGTCTGTGTGAGGGTGTCATTCCTTGGAGCTGGAGTTACAGACAGTTGTGAGCTGCCATGTGAGTGCTAGTAATTGAACCTGGGTCCCTCTGGAAGAGCAGACATTACTCTCAACCACTGAGCCATCTCTCTAGCCCCCAATATAATTTTTTTTTTCTAAAGGCAAATGATGTTTTAGCATTACTGTGAAAATATTGACTTTCAAAAATGGTCTTTCAAGGCTGGTTAGATGGCTTAGGCAAAAGCACACTTGCTGAATGTGCTGAATTCTGATGACCTGAATTCCATGTCTAGAATCTACTGTGAAGGAAAGAACCAATTTATAACAGTTCTCTGGCCATACTCACACCATAGGCATACCTATGCCTGCAAGCACAAGTGTATACACACACCACCACCACCACCACCACCAGCAGCAGCAGCAGCAACCAAATAATTGGGGGTGGGTATTTTGAGATTCTCAGAGGTAAGAGATTGTGTTTTTAGGGGTAGTTGGTATAGTCCTTTATATAGGTTTGCTTCCAGACCCAGATAAATGAATCAGGAATGAAGAAGCAGCAGTTAATTGGGGAATATCATTAAGAAAATGAGGCAGCACGAGAAAGGAAAAAGTTTATTGAGGGAAGGAAGTGAATTCTGAATTTCCAAGGATGAGAAGATTAGAAAGTTGATTAGTGCAGCTCAGAAAAAAAAAAAAGGGTTTTTTGAAAGTTAGTGGCCCTCATACTGTAGTTGTTGTTGCTAAGGAAGTGAGTTTAGGGGGAGGGGTCCTGGGCAGTACCAGCATCTTAGGGGTTTGAAAGGAAGAAGAGAGTAGAATTACAATGCCAAGAATATTGGGAAAGGGAATTTCAAGAAAGTCCACACTACCTAATGCTTAGGGAAAAGTCAGAATGGGAGTGTTGATTTAATACTTTGATAATATTACTAGTTAACTGTCCTAGAGTGCGGTAGTGGTAGAAACTAAGTTCTAGAGGAGTGAAGAGTGCAAAGACAACTGTAACTAGTCTTTTGAAGTGTTTTGGGGGAAAGGGGAGAGAGTTATGTTGGGCTGTTAATTTAAAGACAGATTTGCTCTGAAAATAGCCCAGTAGAAAAGGTTCTATGTGAAAGAAAAGAAAATTAATGAAGCGAATTGATATTACAGTGTGATGTAGTTAACCTGGTAATGACAATCTAAATTTGTAAGGAAGAAGCTAATGAAAACTGAATTTCTGGCAGAAAAATAACATAGATCCATGAGATTCAGCATAGACTTTATGAGAATAAGAAATTTTTTTCTTATATTGCTGGGTAGTCCTCTTATATGGTCATATTAAATCTAGTAATTTAACATTTAAAGAGGTTTTCTTTTTCTCCCCCCTCTTTTTGGTTTTTTGAGACAGGGTTTCTCTTGTGTAGCCCTGGCTGTCCTGGAACTCACTCTATAGACCAGGCTGGCCTCAAATGAAGATCCTCCTGCCTCTGCCTCCTGAGTGCTGGGATTAAAGGCATATGCCACCAGTACCCGGCAAAGAGATTTTATTTTAAATGCAGGTAATTATAACCATTTGTGATTATTTCAGAATAAGACTTATTTTGACAAAATTGAATCTATGGTTAACAAATGATGTAAAGGGTAAAGTTATTTTCTTGTGCAAGGATTGTGGTTCCTCTCCTTCTCCTAGGTGAAAGACATCTGAAGGCTCCAGAATGGTTCCTTAGTTAATTCTCTCTCTCTTTTTTTTTTTTTTTGGAGGCAGAGTTTGGACAGTAGCCTCAAGTGGTGCTTCTGTTGAAAATGTGTGTTGTTTTTGAATGTGCTTGTATTTCTGACTTCCTTTTTTCTCTCTCTTTCAGTCTGTTCTCAAGGGAGGCAGTAAGAGGCCGTGGAGCTGGCCTCAGCACTGGGAGAGGCTGGACTTCCTGTCTCTCTGTGCTGAATGGCTGCGATGGCGCCCGCTCTCACTGACGCAGCAGCTGAAGCACACCACATCCGGTTCAAACTGGCTCCCCCATCCTCCACCTTGTCCCCTGGCAGTGCCGAAAATAACGGCAACGCCAATATCCTTATATCTGCCAACGGAACCAAAAGAAAAGCCATTGCTGCAGAGGATTCCGGTTTAGACTTCCGAAATAATCCGACCAAGGAAGACTTGGGAAAGCTGCAACCATTGGTAGCATCTTATCTCTGCTCTGATGTAACATCTGTTCCGGCAAAGGAGTCTTTGAAATTGCAAGGAGTTTTCAGCAAGCAGACAGTCCTTAAATCTCATCCTCTTTTATCTCAGTCCTATGAACTCCGAGCTGAGCTGTTGGGGAGACAGCCAGTTTTGGAGTTTTCGTTAGAAAATCTTAGAACCATGAATACAAGTGGTCAGACAGCTCTGCCGCAAGCGCCTGTAAATGGGTTGGCTAAGAAATTGACTAAAAGTTCAACACATTCGGATCATGACAATTCCAGTTCCCTCAATGGGGGAAAACGGTCCCTCACTTCATCTGCTCTGCAGGGAGGTGAAGTGGGAGGATCTGACTCTGGGAACTTGAAGGGGGGTATGACCAATTGCACTCTTCCACATAGAAGCCTTGATATAGAACACACAACTCTATATAGCAATAATAGCACTGCAAACAAATCTTCTGTTAATTCCATGGAACAGCCGGCACTTCAAGGAAGCAGTAGGTTATCACCTAGTACAGACTCCAGCTCTAACTTGACAAATGTTAAGTTAGAAGTCAAAAAGTCTCCTCTGTCTTCCATTCTTTTCAGTGCTTTAGACTCTGACACAAGGATAACAGCTTTACTGAGACGGCAGGCTGATATTGAGATCCGTGCCCGCAGGTTACAGAAGCGATTACAGGTTGTGCAAGCCAAGCAAGTGGAGAGGCATTTACAGCACCAACTGGGTGGATTTTTGGAAAAGACATTGAGTAAACTGCCAAACTTGGAATCCTTGAGGTCTCGGAGCCAGTTGATGTTGACCCGAAAGGCTGAAGCTGCCTTGAGAAAAGCTGCCAATGAGACTACTACTTCAGAGGGACTTAGCAACTTCTTGAAAAGTGATTCAATTTCAGAAGAATTGGAGAGATTTACAGCTAGTGGTATAGCCAATCTGAGGTGCAGTGAGCAAGCATTTGATTCAGATGTCACGGACAGTAGTTCAGGAGGGGAGTCTGATATTGAAGAGGAAGAACTGACTCGAGCTGATCCTGAGCAATGCCATGTACCCCTGTGAGTAGAACCCGTGATGATGCAGTCATTCTTGAAAAATGTTGGCAAGATTTAAGTAAATCCCCATTTTGTAAAGAATATAGTTCTTGTATATTGACAACTAGATTGCATTAATTATTTCCTGGTTTTAGGTAAGTAAATGCATATACCTGAAGTGGAAAAACGGAAGGCATTTCTGCTATAATATTGTATTGCTGTGTGCTAAAAGTTTTCCTTTTTAAGTCTTACTGGAAAGAAACTAGAAAACATAACTGAGTAGATTTATTTTGAAACTGTAGGACATTTTAAGCTTTAATGTGTGGCTTGACATTTTGTTGTTTCTAGGAAGTTGGGACAAGTGATGATTTAGTTAGATTGGTTGAAATTTATAGTGCTTTCCATTGCACTTTCAGCATACCTGGTCTACCATTTTAATAAGAGTTTCTTTGTGTTGGAAAAGTAAACCTGTTTCCCTTTTGCTTTCAACTCTCTTACCAGTCAACATAGAGAATACATCCATGACCATAAATAGTTTGACGATGTCTCCCTATCAGCAAGCAAGCAGTCACCTGTAGTGGATAGCAACTGATTGTCTTGCAATTTAATTTTAATTCTGACACTTCTAGAGGTAATTGTGCCAGATCTCACAGTAGCAGGATATGGTCTTCAAGATTGTTTCCCCCCCCCTCCCTCCCCCAGTACTGCTTCAGATTCCAGTTGCAAACCCAGATTGTTTTTATCTGTGCTTCTGACTACTTGGCTATAAACCAATATTCTTGTTTTGTTTTGTTTTGTTTTTGTTTTTTGAGACAGGATAGTTTTGGTTCCTGTCCTGGAGCTTGCTCTATAGACCAGGTTGGTCTCGAACTCACAGAGATCCACCTGGCTCTACCTCCCGAGTGCTATAAACCAATATTCTTAAAATTTGGTACTCACATTTGACTAATTTGACTGTGCAACTCAATACTCAGAAATTATATTTCTTAATATTTACCATTTTTTGTTGTAAATGGTATTACAAAGAAAACAGATGAATACATGCATATGGGTGAGATGTGAGGAAGGGAGGTGTAGAGATTCAGTGCCTTGTTGGGACTTTCTAGGCTCTAGGAACTTGAGTACAACTATCCTGCCATTCTAGACTCTGTCCTTTTTGTTTTTTATAGGGAAGTTTGGTTAGATAGGTCTGAAATCATAATTACCTAAGTTGTCACTGGTGATATTTATTCCCTTTCATGTCTGTTTGGTTGGTGAGAGCAAAAATTCCAGTGGTCTAAACACACCTTTGTCTTCCTGGTGACTACCTTTGTCTTAAAGTTACTTCTGGATGCTAGCCATCAATCAGTTCAACCTTTGAAAAAGACTATCACTTTGGAGAGCCCAAGGATTCTAGTAGTTTGGTGCCAGGAGACAAAGACCAATGTGTATTTTACAGTATCATGTTCTAAGGACTAATTAGAAAATACTGCAGAATATTTTAAACATTGCCTTTTTACGTAATCCACTTTTTACTTCTTGATTCTGTTCTTTAAATGCTGTGTGTATGCTTGCACAAGTGTGTGTGTGTGCACATATGTATATATATATATATAATTTTTTGTTTTGTCTTATTAAAATTTTTTTAGATATTATTAAAAGTATATTGTAGCCTGGCAGTGGTGGTACACACCTTTAATCCCAGCACTCAGGAGGCAGAGGCAGGTGGATCTCTCTGAGTTAGAGGCCAGCCAGGGCTATACAGAAAATCCCTGTCTTGAAACCACCACCAATTGTATTGTGAGCCATGTATGTGCCTGGTACCTTTGGCGGTCAGAAGAGGACATGTGGAATCCCCTGGAATTGGAATTACAGAACAAGCTGCTGTGTGTATCAGGAAACTGGGTTCTTTGCAAGAATAGCAACTGCTCTTAACCACTGACTTTTGCTCTTGTTTTGTGAAACCAGTCGTAATATACAGCATAGGTTGGCCTTTATTCAAAATCATCCTGTCTCAGTCTTCTGAGAATTACAGGTGTATACTACCATACCCAGCTAGATATGTTTTTTTTTTCAATTCAGCAAAAGTTAATGTATTACGTATTTTGTGTTTTAGATAGTTTTACTGTTTTCCAAATCTGTTAGTTTTATCAAATAAAATACATAATCTCCTCAGGATAGCATACTTTCTCTCTCTCTCTCTCTCTCTCTCTCTCTCTCTC